CTGGATAAATTGGTCCGAATATATGAGTTTGGTCAAATCGGTTTGGAAAATAAATTTCTTGGTGGATTTCCGTTGAATTGTTAATAGACCTAGTTTAAAATAACATTTTTGCAAATTACATTGTAGATTAATTGATTTTATTGAGTATAATACTAAATAATGCTAATAAGAATTTTGAAATTAATAATTTATTTAACTGGAAAGTAATAATTAGTATGTAGTTAATTTTTAAAACTAATACAAACAAATTTTAATACTGTAATGTTACTAATTTAATTTAAATTATAGATATTTATAGATAATATATTAATTATCAATAAATTAACTTATGAACCTTATAAATATTTATTGGTAATTTAATAATATTGTTAACCAATAATGTAATATAATAATTATAATAATAGTAGTATAGTAGTAATAAATATAATTTATAATAAACTTGTTTATATACCTTCAAGGGTGGCATCGACAATATAAACCGGGTCATAAACGGCGGGAAAGTCCGGTAGATTTATTTGAGGTATGGGTGGTTCGTATCGCTTATTTATGGTATTATTAGTAGAGTCTGCGAACCACAATCTGAGGGACAGGTTGTCGAGTAGTGTTATCTCAAGGTATACCGATTTGATATCATTTGGAAAGCCTGATGGGGTCTGGCGTTCAAGGTTTACGATTAGGTGGGCGTACTGGCGGATTATGCCTTTCACTTTATACCCAGGGTATACAGTGGGCATAAAACATGTCGGAACGTATTTGTTATCTAAAAATGTTTTTAAATATGTAAAATTAATAATTAAAATCTACTTAATAATTTATTTATTAATATTATTATCATAATTATATAAGAGTTATAAACAATTTAAAAATTATATTGTCTATATTGCCATATAAAATTAAATAGTTTTAAATAAGCACTATACTATTTATCATCAATTTTAATTTACAGTCTAGCAATATATTTATATAACATTATATTAATTGGCTATTTATGATATTTTATCAATAAACTAAAAAATAAAAATGTTGTTTACCATTAGCACCGGTGGTCTGACTATTCTCAACAAAACAGCACTTCCTGGCCGTACATTCAGTCTTATTGATTGCCTTTTCTGGCGCACAGTCTATACGCTGGTCGACCGAAATAC